AGCAACAAACATGATAAAGGAGAGCAAGTATCATTTTCCCTCAGTTTTTTGAATCCTGCTTCTCAGATGATGCAAGCTTCAAAATGCCCGGGATGTCCGTTTTTTTGACCACTAGTTGTCTAAATACGACATAATCACTTTCACCACTAGGTTTAGCCCGGTTTAACTCTTTAGCCCTCAACCGCAATTGTTTATCATTTTCCCGCTCAGCCGGGGTCATAGAACGACGAATAAACACATTTTTAAAATCGGCATAATTCCTAAGTGTCCTAGCATTCCGTAAAGTTTGAAGAAAAAATTTCCGAGAAGAAAACACGCATTTAATAAGGCGACATTTACCAGGCTCACGTTTGCCCATCCTATAAACCTCACTGGGCCGCCCTTCTACGTCCAATACATCCAATATGTCACTCACCGCTTGTTCTGTTGATTTCTGCCGCACTGATGGAGGTTGATCCGCATCACCTTCTGGCACACCAAAAATAACCACGGAACGCGCCCTCTTATCGGCTTCGACGATTTCGGCGGGATTCGGTGTCAATAGAGCAACCAGCTTCTCCAATAACGGTAAGCCTTCCGGCGCTTTATCTTCGAGGATGCTTTGCAGCTCAGTGAATACCATAGTGCAGTCCTCCGATAGGGAATTGGAGATGTGGGCCAGGAAAGGCGACGACGGTTTTCGCTTTTTAGGGTTGACGGGGTTGACAGGGATCAGGGTGCACTTAGTGGACAGAGCAATCAATGACCGACCGCTCCGCGCGAGCGCACAGTGCCGAATGAGCGCACAGTGCCGAATGAAAAATATATAAAAAGTATAGCCCATTTGAAATGTTTTTTACGTTTTTTTTTTACTTCTTCCCTGACGGTTATCCGCTTTTCCTTTTTTCTCTTTACAATGTGTCTGGTGTTCATCTTACTTCAATAGCCTCACTTTTTTGTTTCCGTGAATTGGCATAGATTTTATACGACAGCTCTCACCAGGGAAGTGTTTCAACTTCACCTTGAACTTTGAATAGGGACCTAGGTATACCGATAAGGTCTGGAAAGTTATAAACAATATGGAACTCAAAACTGCTAAATGAAGCTACCAAAAAGTTGTGAAGTGGTTCAAAGTCGGCATACTTAGAACACCTATTGACGACAGTCACGTTTGGCTGGGAAAGCGCCGCGAGGGACCGGCGCGCTTTTTGTCCACTCGCGACTGTAGTATACATGTGGACTGCATGGTACAGCATGACCAGCATGACCATTGTTTGGAATTTGAATTTGGTATTTTCGACTTTATCTGAGTTCACAAATTGAGGTTGTGGCTAATCATAATAGCATGCAGAACTCTAATTCTGGTCAGCTATCGATTCTGATGAGGAGCAGGCAGAAGATGAGGACGACGTAGCTTATGCTCTTCTCTCGGACAGCCTCAATTTTTGATCAAGCAAAATTGAAGTATACGATAGATTCACTTTCGATGAGGACTACGGCGTTTATGATGATGTCTTGAGTTGTGAAAAACCAATCGATGACTTTAAATTATTCTTGGAGAACAATATATGGATTTGAATACAGCAGAAGTCAACGGATAAGGCGATGCAAAAGCTGCCGCAGTTGGAAACACATTTACGGAAATCAACAACAGAGAAATTTATAAGTTTTTGGAATGTGGCTTCAAATGGGTTTGGTAAGAATACCCACATTGAGAGATTCTTGGTCTCTAGCACTCGGTCTAGTGGTCATTCAATTATGGGTTCTATCATTTCCAGAAATTGTTTCAGGGAGCTTTTACGAACTTTGCAAAAACAGATTTCCTTGAATCACGCAGTATGTAGTTTCATTCGGGCTTGATTTAATGTCTAGAAGAGAAAGATCGTTAAAAAGTGGAAATATAAAAGAATAAGAATAAATTTAAAAATACAACTGCAGTCCACATAAGGACTGTATTGTCGTCAATTGGTTAAAGCATGAAGGGATGATGCCAGTTGATAAGCGCAGTTGCCCACAATGTCCCCAAGTTTCTACGTGCGTAGTGACATTGCTCTCCCTCTCTAGGTGAGCGGCGAGGGTTTACTCCTCGTTGTCGTTTTCGCTTTTGCAAACTATGCTTTCATCCGAGTAGAAGCTCCCAAACCGTTTTTTTCTTACCAATTCATGTTAGCGCTTTGTTTCGGCTATCATTTGATATCACCTATCTATCACCTATCACCGCACTTATTTAAAATTTCTTGAGCTGGCGGGGGAAACCCGAATCACTTGAAAGAGATACGCGTGAAAAGCTCAATATTAATGAAAAATCCAAGAAATGAATGAGTCAGGTATGTTGTCCACAAAATGCGAACCTTGTCGCGATCAATCGCGACCAATCGCCACTCTATGTGTTATGTTGTTCATACTTGTCATGTGAAGCTGGAGATTCTCTACGCTGTAATGTTTCTGGTGTACTTAAACGCCCTGAGATCATCACAAAGGCCCTTTTTGCTCTGCTGTTAGATTCTGTTGATAAAGCGGCGAGTTAGGAAAAGTGTTGCTGAACCATCGAAAACAGTCTGGTGCATCGGCCGAGAATTTATACATGCTGTCTCTCTAAAACCGTAAGTAAAACACACAGTCGATTCGAAACCAAAAAATACACGTTTTCTTCACCCGTTTATGGGGTTCTTTCATCGATTTTGGGTTTTCTCGCGTGTCCAACACTATTTCACTTTGGGTGTGGGTATGTGTGTTTTGGCGTTGAAAATGGAGCGTTACAAAAATGACGTTTAGAAATTTTAAATAAGTGCAGTGATGGGTGCTACATAGGTGATCGCAAATGATAGCCGAAACACAGCGTTAAGTTAAAGCGCTTGTGGCCATTGCGGGCAAATGCATTTATCAACTGGCATTATTTCTCCATGCTTTAAGCATGCAAACTTTGGACGCTCACAATGTTTTTGGTAGACTCATTTAGCAATTTTAATTTCCATGTTTGTAAATAGCTTTCCAATCGCTATCGATATACTTAGGTCTCTATTCAAAACTCCAAGGAAATTCAAATCTTTTCCTGGTCAGTGTTCTGATTAAACCTGGTATTATGTTTGTTTAGACTATTCTCGTATTCTCTCTGCGTTCCCAATGAATAAGTAAAATTAATAAATAACTGTGGCAGTGTAAATTGTGGTTACTTTCATCCAAAACTCAGCTACACATGCAAGTCACGGACTATCTCGTTGAGATTGTGCATATGGCGGAGTTTCCGTTCTCACAGATAATCTCCTTGGAAACGTGTTGACTTCACTCAAAAATGTGCACGACATTCTATAAATGAATGAAAACTTTTTTGATGTTTTGTCGTGGCGTTTTGCGTCATCCATCTATTGTAGATGGCTGTGAGCAACTTCTTTAGCCTTCATGGCACACAAGGTTCAGAAGAACTGACTTACAGAAACGAGAATTCAGTATGGGCACTCGGCTTTTACAGTAACTCAGCTAGGGTTGGTTTCTCGACCGAGTACTTATGATGCAACGTCAACCCCTATGCTGCCTCATCACCCGCCCTGTGTCCTTGCCCAAAATAACCTTTCGATGCGTTCTATTGTGACGGGGTAACAAAGCGCGTACTTGAAGGGTTATCTGTGAGAAATTGGGTTGTCTACGAATTTTTGCGTCGACTACATTTTATCCTGCTGCTTGGTCACTGTATGAGCTGAATGCCTGTGCTGAGTTTTCGTTCCTGCTGTTCATCTAAGCACCTAGCGTAGGACACATTTTGAGATTGTATCCGTTCAGGTTTTGTATAGCAGGGCACATTTACCTGCTTCCTCACCAGCTTTTCGCAAAGCTGCTGTTTCATCCGAGCCAGATGTTATTGTAAACCATCGAGTTGTTCTAAAAGACGATAGGTTAGTTTTTTGGTTCTATTGATTCAAGGTTTCGTTTTATAGTTCTAATATTTCTCACCTACTCACATTATACCTCACAAATGGGCTTAACGAGGTTGAGATTGAAAATGAGATTGAAGTATACATCTCATTTTTCGACTACAAGGGGCTCTAGTTCTATACTAACTGAATCACAATGTTTTGCTTAATTTCTAATGCTTTTGTACATTGCATCGGTTTTCGGTTTTTGTTTTCAATACTAGCGCCTCAAATTTCCATTTCTAATGATGTAGTTATTAATTCCGACGTTTCTTACTGATATTATTTTATAATTTTTTCTATTATTCATAAGAACATTTAGTGCTCGTCATTGTATCAGGGAAGCCTTCCTGTCGAATAACTTTCTTAAAAACTTAACCGATGAACAGATAGAATGTGTAGCTGCAGTGATGTACCCTGTGCAGGTGAGACTACTTCCGATAATATTTGAGTGACTTGTTCTCTGGGTTGATGTTTGATAAAGGTCCTGCCACATCCAATGAAGTTTGAGCAAATCTTTTTATCTCAGGTAGACGCCGGTTCAACTGTTATTCGTGAAGGTGATGCTGGCAACATCATGTACGCTGTACAAGGTTAGTAAAGAGAAGTGGGCACATTCGCCCGTTTGGAGATGCTCGCGGCAAATCGCGCGACGAAATTTTGTGGCGGTTCGGACGGCTCTGGCGTCCATTTGGAGCCACAGGTTTGAAGTAGAGTAGATTAATAGGATCAGCTGAACCTACTAATCTACTCTACTTCAAACTGGTGTCCTGGTCCCAATGATAGGCGCCAATGTCGTCAAATTGCCACAAATTTCAAATTTCCGATTTGTGGCGTGCGTCTCCAAACGAGCGAATGTTCCGTCCCCCTTACTTAAAAAATGGTGATCCTGGGGAACGCCGTTCCTAGCGTCCGTCAGAACCAAGTCACCCCGCCTACTTCGCGCGCGGCGCAGCCCTCTGTGATCTCGAGATGACATTACAGTACCCCTAAGTGTCAGTGGAACGAATGACTGCACTGATCCGTGTTATTTTCTCTTAAATGCAGTGTTCACGGTAAAAATGGTTCCTGAGTTCCCCCCCCCCCCTTAAGAAAACCCAGTCGCCCAAGGGTAACAGGAAGGACGCAGTCGGGTCCCAAAACTCATTAGCTAAGGCATAGTGGCTACTGGATCGCCCAGCTTCCCGCCTCTCAACGGATGATGTGTCAGACGAGTCTAGAGGCGATACAAATTGTAATATTCGCGCCAGACCCCCACATTCAGCACGCAGTCAGCTGATCGCTGAGTATTGAGGCGATGTTTTCTCCTTTTCTGTTATCCTCTTTTGTTCTTTTTGCTGTTGCCATCCTTATTCTAATTTTTACCTCAAGAGCCTGAAAAAGGTGGGCTACTTTTGCTGTTACTGGGGTTTTTCATTGACTTATACTTATGTATAAATGAATTTTTCAAAACTTTTTTGCTCATTGTAGTCAGCTATTTGCACAGGGTCCACACGTACGCAATCACACACATTGTATAGCTCGTCCAAGCGTCCCATTCTTCATTTTTCTGGTCTCATTCTCGTCCAGCCCCCTTTCTAATGATTTTTTCGACGAAATTTTTCCCTTTGGGAACACCGATTCACGCACTTTCTCCGGCTTCATCGTACTATTATCCATTTTATCTTCCATTTTCGTCATAATCTGGATTACCTAAGATTACCGTAAAGTGTGTCTTCCAAGCAAATTGTATGCCCCACTGACAACTGCGACGACCGTCAAGAATCGCGTGCTGATACGGGCCGCGGCGCGACCGAGTTTCAACGGACGCGAACGAAGCGCACCCGATGATTCTGGAGTAATACCTCGTGATGGTCGATATCGCGTTAGGTGCAAATAGTATGGGAAAATTACTTTCATCGTGAGATGAGGTAGTTGAAACGCAAGTTTACAGAACTGTCTCCAGTACATCTTACACGCTATCGCCCAAACTGCATTGATGCAGTACTTACTCCGCTGTTTGTCTGTTGGCTCGACCAATTTGGTTTACTTCTCCATGTAATCAACCTGTTTTATGACCAACATTTTCCTTTTCCGCACGCGTAACAGCTGGGGTAGTAGCTTAGTGTATTCATTCAGAAGGACATCGTGCGAAAAGAGCTTTTTCGAATGCTTATCGGTCTGGAGGCGGTTCACGATTATTTTGAGGTGTTCAGTTTCGGCCGAGCAGTGGAAGTGGTACTCCAGATAGTGCAAGGGAAAACGCGAATACTGGCGTACTCAGAGAAATATGAGGCTTCAGAAAAGTAAAATTATGGATTGGACGGCAATGTGACGGTAAAACACATTCGGACAAGCTGCTCGAATGTGCGCGCCGCTGCATACAGCCGGCTGCAATGAGCTGCCTGTGTGCAAAGTGTGGGTCTTGGTGTGAGTCTGGAGCAAACCCTACAGATGTTCAACACTCAGAAACTCGCTCGTCTCGGGTATGTACGTGGGCTAAGCCGGTTTTGGGGCTTTTACTACTTATTACGTTTTATCTTGACCGTTTTACGGCCCGTCAGTGTCCAGGTTATCCTGGGGGCCACAAATCAATTTGGGGTAATCTCAGAAACCATTTTCAACGTGAAGTGTGGCTTCAAAGGCACAGTACTTAAAGAAAATGGTTTCTGAGATTCTCCATAGTGTGGAATCGAGGCATCCACTTGTAGCACACCTACGGTTATGAGGTGGGGAAACATCCTAGGTAGGACACAAAAATGGGGCGAGAGGTTGTACTGTGTAAGTGCCACACCTCCGTTAGGACGACTAGAAATTTAATTGCTGGCCAACAATGTTCGCATTGGAGCAACGTTAGTGGAAAATCATAAGCTAGTCTTCGGAGAGCGCGCTATTATATTTTAGACTACTAGTTGGATCGCGTGGTTGACGCCGGCCTCTCCTCCTTCCTGTGTGAAGTTGGCCTGGCGTCCACATCCCCCCCCCCTTCTTAAATTTGCCCGCTCCGGTGCAGGAAAACAGGAACTATAAATTAACGGCCAAACACAACACACTTCGTGACTTTCCAGTCATGAATCCTCAACTCATGTGTGTTTGAGTAACTTTGTTCATTCCCCTCTTCTTTAATCTTCAGCCGTGTTTCCTGCCATCAGCATATCGTACTGCCGCTTGTACAGCTAACGAGTCTACGACCTAGGTCCAATTTGACGATTTTCGCGCGCGCCATTCCCTTTTAGGGAGAGTCAAGTTCGCCACCTGCCACCATTGTTCTCCTTCTGCCGCCTATATTCCTACCGAATTAGACGCTCAAGGCCACGGGAAGAGGTTTCATGAGTTTCCAGTCAAAGGTACCGACACACACGCCGTTACACACGTACCGGCCTATCATCACTTCTTCTCTTTTTTTCTCGAAAAGAAAGAGCAGTGAGTAGCAGCTCTATATGAATTAGTACAAACCGAAACTGGTCAATATCGGTTGCCACTATCGATCACTGCGTTTACAGCTATATTTCTTCAACATCTCTTCGACTTCCTCGGAGTTGGATCACTGCACCGCTCAAGGGAACAAAGTGTCCACTGATAGGTCAATTACACAACAGATAGGTATAGCAAATCCGTATGTCGGCCAACATCCCCACAGCGTAAATCCTACCACACTGATATACCTCATGTTTGAAGGAATTAAAGCTGTGAATCGACGGTGCACAATCTGGAAAGCTTCTGAGCAGGATTGCCGGCTAAGGTAGCGCTTTTCGTGCATGACCGACCCCGAATGGGCTTGGTCCTGGAACCTACTCTCAGGAATGCTATCCTGCCGTCTGTTCCCCCATCAAATTCGGAAGCTTTAGGTACCCGGGAACAGGAATTATGTATTTCCAATAGAACCACTCTTATCGCAAGCCCCATCCTCCGTAGGTGGAGCCTAGTCAGATCACGTGTTCCAAGTAGCTCCACTTATTCCCACTTGTTTCAACCTGGATAATCTGTTTCACTCCAATCTCAGGTAGGCGCCATATAAGGTGGCGATAAAACATCAAGATACAAACAGACCTACAACACACGAACGGGTTTGTATATAATACAAAATATATGGTGAGAATTGCCGTTGGATACCATTTGAGACTTGTCATAGGAACACCAAACACTTTTTTCTGCTTTCTAAAACAATTCAGAACATTCTCGAATGATCGATTTTGGCACCGCCCAGATCGATGCAAAGCCGCCCACTACAGAGGTTTGACCACATATCTTCTATATCCTCCAACCACTTTTGCCGCGCTGTAAAACGTTCTCGAACACAACTATGAATTTTTGATACTAGCCCCGTCCGAATTGGTGGGAACCCCGCCCACACAATTTTCCTGCAACTTCTGGCACCTGTTTTTGACCACTCTAGAGTGTTTTAATAAAGTTATATTCAGTTCTGAATGAAATCCATTATTTGAATGCAGGCCCCGCCCATCGTAAGCCTAGCTTCGCTAAGGTTACATGTGCCAAGCACGTATAAGGTCGCGCTATATTTTTTTCTGGCCTCCACCTTCGTTGAATTGAGTCATAAATGCATCTGAGAAGTACCGCCCATTTCGAGGACGCAGGCGCGTCTCCTTCGTCTGATTTGTCGACCCAACCTTCACCCTTGACAATTTTTTCCCGGTGTATGATCTTTTTCAAAGATGAAATGAGATGTTTGGCTCTTGGAACCGCCCATTCCGGCGCTTGCATACATACATACATACATACATACATACATACATACAAACAAACAAACAAACAAACAAACAAACAAGCGCACAAAACTTGTGGTTCATAGGCAGTGTTCTCGATACCTGTTATGTTAGAGTGGCAGTAAAAAGAGAGTGGCGCAGAATAAAAGCACTCATGCTAGGATCATCAGTCGGTTGGAAGACGATTTTGAACATCTGAGGCTTACGGGCCCGGGAACTTCTCCCTGAACACGGCGTCGCACACGCCGCACCCGCCGCGTATCACGTGATTGCGATGGAAGATTGAAGCGCGCAATTTGTGAGGTAGGGAGTCCTTTAATTAGTTGCATTTGCTGGCCGCTATTTTCAATTCCAATGCGGTCTTGATCGTCGTTTATAAAGGAAGAGTCATTTTAATCAATCAAGTACAATAAACATGAAAACAAAAAAGAAACAGAAGAAAAAACGATCAAATCCAATAAAAAAGCAAGGCAATCAACGAAAAATATCGCGTCCTATCGATTGGTGGGGAAGCGGGGTGAGTATGGTAATGGCAGTGGCATTTGCCGCATGCCGCAAGGGAGAATGCCGCGATCGGGGAGAAGTTCCGTTACCTTAGGCTTACTGTATTTAGTTGCACGCAGTGACACTCTACCCCTTCCATGGTTACGGGTATGGGTACATTCACCCAGAACTGGATGGACGCGACAAACCGCGCGGCGAAATTCGTGGTGTTTAATACGGCTTTGGCGCCTATCATTGGGGCACGGATTCCAAGTAGATTGGTTAAGTAGGGCCAGCTTATGCTACTTATCCGTCCCACTTCAAATTTATGCCCCGAAGTTAGGCGCCAGAGTCGTTTTAAACACCACGAATTTCGCCGCGCGGTTTGCCGCGTCCATCCAGTCTGGGTGAATGTCTCGTCCCACCATGGTTGCAGGGCTGGGGTATGAGTGCATTTGCGCCGGAGGTACACGCGGCAAACCGCGCGGCTAAATTCGTGGTGATTAATACGGCTTTGGCGCCTATCATTGGGGCACGGATTCCAAGTAGATTGGATAAGTAGGGCCAGCTTATGCTACTTATCCATCCCACTTCAAATTTGTGCCCCAATGATAGGCGCCAGAATCGTTTTAAACACCACGAGTTTCGCCGCGCGGTTCGTCGCGTCCATCCAGTTCTGGGTGAATGTCCCGTCCCCCCATGGTTACAGGACTGGGGTACGGGTACATTTGCGTCCGAAGGTACACGCGGCAAATTGCGCGGCGAAACTAGTTTCGTTTTGGAAGACTCTGACGCTTATCACTGGGGTACAATTTTGGAGTAGTTCATATAGGTCAGCCAAACCTACTAATCTGCTCTACTTGAAATTGGGTCCCCAATGATAGGCGCTAAAGTCGTTCAAGTCGAAACGGATTTGCCGCGCGCATCTCCGGACGCACGTATGATCCGTCCCCGACAGGGCTGTTCTCAACCAGGCTTTCTGTAGCTGAGAAAATCAGACAGCGTAGCAGTTTCCACGTGTCGTATCCACTAGTGGAAGAAGGGCGTGTCTGCTCGTCTGTCGCACTCTATTTGAGCGTATATGATTGAAGATGGATTAAAGGAGGGCCAAGCAAACTAAGAAGACTTTGTACCTCGGATTGATTAAAGTGAGAAAGCAAATTGGAAATGTGACTGAATGTGATGGGGCTTGACAAGGGTTGATGTGATGGGGCTTGACAAGGGTTGTTTGTTTGGAAAAAAGTTTTGGTGAACACTATTCTTCACCAGAACTCTTTCTTTGCCACCGATGCACTACCCTCAACCAATACTATTGCTTTTTGATTCGAAAAGGAGACCTCAGAGTTATCGTGAACTGTGCCTTTAACTGAAGACATATAAAAGATTGGGGAAGCTGATCCAAGGAATTCACCTGTCATACTACGTAGAACTAACTGTCCGAATGAGCAGAAACGCATGTGCCAGGCCGTTTGATGGAAATGCAACCATAAAATTTTCACGCCCCTACGCCCCTACTGTATTATCCACTGTTGAAATGGTGCTTGTACTAGTAGATTACGAGACGTCTTTCCTCCTTTCCATGCCCCAAGCAAAGAATCCCTGAACCGGCATACTTCTATCATACGAATAGAGCGGTCAAATCGATCTTGGCTACGCCTTTGAGCTTCGAGCGCTCAAGAAGCCATCTTGGCGCCAACCACCACATCATAACCGCGTTCTCGATTCCACTGCAGCTGGGATAAAATACGTCTACAGCTCTACCTAGTACTTCAGCATGAACATGTCATGGCGAATACGTGTACTTTGTTTCGCCACTGCCATCTCTATCCACTCCGATCCACTCCGCATTAGCAGCTGCCGAAATGGCGCTGCCACTATCGGCACCTTCGACCGAGTGCTTAGTATTTTGGACAAGTAGTTAGGCAGTTGCATAAGCGACGGCATCGCGGTCGCCTGGACCAATGGGAGGGGGCATAGATGCGTCGCTGTGACGAATTTCCTAGCTTGAAGGCACAGTTCACGAAGACAAGATCGAATATAGTGCGATGAAGGTGAAGAAACTGAAGTGAAAAAAGGCTTCGAAAAATCGTTGAAAAGGGGGCTGGACGAGAATGAGAACAGAAAATGAAAAAGAGTGGGCGTTCGGACGAGCTATACAATGTGTCTCACTGCGTACGTGTGGGTCCTAGTGCGAACAACAGACTATGGTAAGCGAAAATTCATTCACTCATAGGCATAAGTAAACAAAAAACTATAGAAACAGCAAAAGTAGCTCATCTTTTTCAGACCCCAGGAGTAGGAAACTAACTCATTGACGACCATGCAGTCCACACGTGACTGCACTTTTTCGGCCGTGTGGGACCGTGCAGTCCACATGTGATCTGCAGTTGTATTTTTGTTTTATTCATCTGTATTTCCATTTTTTACAATTTTTTTTTTCAAAACATTACATCAGGCCTAAATGGAGCTGCGTACTGCGTGGTTCTGGAAAATCTTCTGATTTTGCAATTGTAAAGGTGTTTTTTTGAAAGAAAACATCACCTTGGTGGATTTTTCATTCGTTGAACAACATCAAAAAAAGAGATGTTCCGAAAAGACGGTCGTCATGAATTTCTCTTATAAACTCCAAAAAATGGTCATGCTGGATCATGAAATCCTCATGTGGGCTGCAGTCGCGAGTGGACTAAAAGCGAGCGGGTCCCTCACGGCGCTTTTCCCGCAAATCGTCGTGGTCGTCAATGGGTTAAATAAGGGATCGCGACAGCAAAAAGAATAACAGAGGAAAAAATGTGAGAAAAATATCGCCTCATCACTCGGCGATCAGCTGATTGTGTGTGTGTCCTGTGTGATTGTGTGTGTGCCAGTTCTTCCTTTAGGAATACTTAGCGCCCATCATGGGTGGTAGAAGGGACCCTCTCGCTCCCAGTGAGGAAATTCTTCGAAAAATCGTTAGAAAGGGGGCTGGACGAGAATGAGACCAGAAAATGAAGAAGAGTGGGGCGTTTGGACCAGCTATACAATGTGTGTCAGTGCGTTCATGTGGGTCGTGGTGCGAATAACTGACTACGGTAGGCAATAATTCATTCACTCATAAGCATAAGTAAACGAAAAACCTAGTCACAGCAAAAATAGCTCACTTTTTTTCAGCCTGTTGGGGTGTGAAACTAAAAATGGAGTCGCGGCAGAAAAAAGAATAACAGAGGAAAAAAGAGTGGGAGAGAAACATCGCCTTATCTCTCGGCGAACAGCTGATTGTGTGTGGGTCCTAGAACGAGTAGTTGCAATCTGTATTGTCTCGACACTCGTCTACCATGACATCGATCGAGGGGCTTTGAAGCCAATTACGGCAGCAACAGGGAGTTCTCGTGGACTGTGTCTTGAAAGATTTTGCACACGCATCGGGAAATCTACATACCGTCAATACCACCAGTCACCCTTTACGTTTCGGGTAGTGCCTTCTTTGCGCAAGATTTCCCAAGTTTCAAGTTTTACCTATCGATTTTAAGGACACAGGACAATAATTGTGGAATGTCAGATGAAAAATTCGGGCTCTAACATCGTCAGCTCGGTCGTGACTGTTACAGTCCGGTTGCAGTGTACCGGCAAACTCGTGTCAATGAAGCCCGGGCGTGTCCGCCGTAGGGCCTGCGGGAGTCGTCAAAGTGCCGATACTAACTATGCTGGCACCCACACGCAGCGTCTGAAAAGGTCGATCGGAATCTAAATCTTGGGAAATCCCTGCAAAGACCTGCTAAAGCATTCTCTTGACTTTGTTTAAAATAAGGCTGTGGTAATTAATGAATCTTATGAGCAAGCTTTTTATTATAGATGGCGTCCTTGAAGTTTTCCAACGAGGCAAGTTCATTAGAGTTATCAGACGTGGCGAGTTGTTCGGAGAGCTTTCTATATTGCACCATTGTCACCGTACTGCTACGATTAAAGGTTTGTTGATCAGTTGTAGGGTACAGAATACCTTGATCAGTGTGACGTTGTATGGGTGATATTTACAGCATTTCGCAGCTGTCGTATGTGGGCTATTGAAAGGACAGCATTTCGTTCCGTCATGGTTGACACAGCAAGAGAAAAACGGAAAAGTGTCATAGAATATCTAAAAGTGTTAGTTTTTGCAATGGTTTTCTAGAAATAACTTCTGACTTTGTCTATAGTTCTATCGTCAATGACCGCAACCCACCTAGTACTGGAAGTCTTTTCGAGCGTCAGGAAAAACAAATTTTTCTCGAGAGGCTATCTGCGCTGTTTTCTGAAATTTTTTGATCTTTATAGACGCTTCCGCGTTGTTGACAATCTCTGAAAACCTGTTCTCTTATGACGTTCCCTATAAACGTCACGCGATCATATGATACGCTTACGTCCATCGATGTGCTCTCGATGTTATCTTTTCTTAGGTGTAAGCGATTCAGTGGGCTTGAAGACCAAACCCTTCTCCGGATTTGCGATGTATGTGTACAGATTGATGTGTTCTTTGGAGAATCTATTCCAGTGCATCGAAATTTTCTGTATGTTGTTGTCCATGGGCAGGTTAGCATTTCTCCTATTATATAATGCTATGCTGCATTCCATTTCTTAAAAGTTCCAATCAAAGCCGGTTCACTTACCCTGAATGTAGTTGTTCTAATGTCAAAATGTGGCATCAGGCAATATTCATTAGCAGTGTCATGATAATTAGAGCAAAGTCTGTTTGGGGAAAGCCATCATGTTGTGTTCAAAGTTTAAAGGCTGGACGGTAGCAACGCTCTTCCCGTCAGAGTCGCCGTGCACAATGGGCGCATTCATACTACCTGCGTTTTTACACAGATATTTGCGCATAGTCAACGCCTATACCGTTTGCAGGGACAGGACTGCAACTCTTCGAGCAGAGCAATTTGTCGTAATTGTTTTTACGAAAGAAAGCGGTCCTGTTACGATTCCTTGCTAGTGGTTTTTAAGCAGATATAGGCGTTTTTAGGGCGGAGATGGTTTAGTGGCTAGTGGCGCACTATACCCCACGCACGGTCGCGGGTTCGAGTCCCCGATCGACATCCGCCTAGGCCAACCAAGCCTTCCATCCCTCCAGGGTCGGTTAACCGGTACCAGACTCGTCTGGGAGGATGAAAGCACTGACTTGCACATGGGCTCGCCACCGCGAGTCATTGTATAGGTCATATATGCATTCATTACGCCACTATGATTCTGAATGGAAAACTCGAATGCCAGGGCACACCCATCGGACGGGGTTGATTAACGCTTTGATTAACTTTGAACTTTATTTGCGTTTTTACGTAGATATGGCGTAAAATCGCGGATAGTATTAATGCGTCCAATGAGATGCTAAGCGAATTTGTTAGAGGAACGTGTGAACATTTTTTTGAGCTAGAGGGGGAACGTTTTGTCAAGCCTAAGGAGTGGAGAAGCTCCGGGGGTGGAGCATTAACTACATACAAAAAATTGTGATACGAAAACTACATACAAAAAATTGTGGTACGATATTGTCTTGTGAGATTTTATCTCTGCGATGGAGCGGAGGCTAGAGTGAGAAAATGAATGCTCCCGAACTCCTTTCACTTAATTTTGTTTTCCATAGTACTACTACTTTGCGATGTTTGGCATATCCTTCTCTCTGGTTTATCTCAACCTAGTATAATGATAGCAAGGAATATCCAATTTTGTCGTTGCGTTGGCGTACTTTTTGCATTTTTATTTGCTTTTTCGGATCCGCCCCACTTTTTAAATTTCGAATATTGAGGCGGCGAATGCAGTGGTCATCGAGAAATAGTGTTAGGGAGTTTTTTCGTAACTTGTTTGAATTGGAAAAAAAATTCGAAATCATCTATGAATTCGGCCCGTCACGTTGTAAGCAACTCATCATGATATATGTTGGGCTACGCACAGTGATGCGTGCATCACAGTAACGTACGTTTCAAGCAGAACCTATGAATTTTATGCTCAGCTCCCACTCTCAATTATATGCACCAAGGCCAAATTGGATTATGAATTTATGTGGTAATTACAGTCCACTGGGGGATGGTCGCGCAAACTGTGCTCTTTTTTCCCGAGTGTCTGGATTTCCCTTTGACCGCCGTCAGACCACAGACCGACCCACCGACCGTGTGGCGCTGGCCACATTTGACAGCGCTGGTTAGAATGGTTGAAGGCCGCGTAACTCGTTAGGGCGCGTGATTCATTGGTGTCCTGCGTTGTCAAGACGTGGCTAGCGAAGCCGCAGTCGGTCGCTCGGTCGTTGAACTCTGAAAGCAGCCATTCCGGTGCATAACCCGTCCTTGTGTATGCAGTCCTGCATGTGCTACTTTTATCATGCGTGCCCCACTCATACCAACCTTGGCAATATAGGATTTGTGGCAGATATTATAGACAGACAGGCAGATTCGAATTCTTTGTATGTGGCCTAGAATAATGATGATATGAAATAAGTAATTGTTGATTTTGAACCATATTGGGCGCAGTTGTAATTACATTGTCTTCACTCACCTCCGTGAACGTTTCGCTCTGCATCTTTCTTCAAAAGCGTCTGACCATTTTTCTCCAAGCTCTAGAAGTTTTTTTTTAACAGACTTATGGATGATATCTCTTAAAATTAGCATCCCACCCGACCTTTAAAACTTGACCGCTGTTCCTAAAGCAGTTCCTAAGCATTTTTCCGAAGTCAAAAATGTCCTGTTTCCGTTATGCAAGCTAAGGCATCCGTTTATCATTCAATGGGGACTCGGAATTCCGGATTTAACTCTGAGCGTGCGCGAAGTCCTCTCCGAAAGCATCGAATGACACTGACTGCTCATCCTGCTTTCATCGAATCCAAAATTCTGAGGCTATCACAGCGTCAGAAAGGTAAGCGCGTAACCGGATGTCCTTTGCCTTCTTCACTACTCCCTCAATGCTCTTCAACGCTCCACTCGCTGCGAGTTTCCTTCCGCTCAGCTTCGGTGCTATGTTGTTCATCATGTTGACTTCTCAGATGTGGGAACTTCTGTACGATTGAGATAACTCCGCACCTCGGTGCGAGGAGGTCTTAAAAAGGAAAGGTGTGAAGAACCAACGATCATTATGCCGCTCACATATCGATGTGTAGTAAGTCAAAGGTTGTTGAATGAAGAGAATAACAACAATGAGAAAGCAGAGCTGAATTAGGTCAGTATTAGAAGTAGAAATAAGGTATTCAGAAAATTTTCACTATATCTACGGATCTCCTTCACTGATGGTTCACTCTCATTGAAGGATCCCGGCCGATTTGCGACAAGGCTACGAGGGGCGTCCCTAGATGGCGGATGAGGGAGTGAATCGCCGACCAAAAGTCACCCGTGCTTACTAGAGACGTAGATGGATTCAGGAGATGGGCTCCCTGTTTCAGCTGTGTTGGTTCGATATATGTAATATGTACCTTCTGTATTCACAAGTGTATCCACACATACGTGTGTGGAGAGTCTGCGGGTGTAGTTGGTACTGCCTTCGATTCGCGGCCGCCTCCAAAAACAAAGCCCCTCGTCCGCTCTGGGATGGCCTGGCCGGCACCCGGAGTCGAGCCGTCCCACATTAGAGCCTGACAAGCTACTCTTTGGTGCATGCCGAATGTAATATAAATGGGCCTCATTTCCCTAAACCTGAGCGAGAACCCATTACAGCAGCTTGGGTAGGACCGGAAAGGCTGCTAAAGTATCAGAGCCATAACAGGCCGTCCAAAAGGAGAAGGATTAAGATGACGATCTGTACTTTCAATGCACGAACTCTTGCTCTCGGAAGAGTGCATCGAAGATCTGATGATGGAAGCCAAGAAGATCAAAAACGACGTCATCGGACTGATCAAGACGAGAGGACACCGCCCATTACATACTATTTTTAAAACTGGAGAAGTTCCTTAGAACATGCCAGATGTCGGCGGTGTAGGTGTCCTTGACAACACGAACCCCCCTCCCCCCTCTCCNCCCCCCCCCCTCCATGAATATCGATTTATATGGAAGCTTGAACATCGAAATTAGACATCTGCGATAGAGGGATCCCAGCTCAGGAATCTTTTTGCTTATGCACCGGCATTACGCTACAAAGAAGAGGAGTTGGAAGCGTTTTATATGGATTTGGACAGACTCTACAGAGCTCCAGGTCGGAACTCACGGATTGGAATGGAATAGCGGGGTGAAAGGCTATCCGAGTTTATCATTTCGAGCCACACCATCCATGGTAATTCCCAGTTCCAGATGTCCCCTCATTTGCTATCCACTCGGCAGTCACCTGGTGAACAAACCCATAATGAAGGTATCACGTAATCTTCAGTCGAAAGCTTTGCTTGACTAATGTAGCTGTTGTCCCGAAGTTCTACATGAGATCGGACCACCGTCTCCTGCGCGCTAGATTCTCTTTCTCAGTGCCTGGAGAGAGAGCTATGAAGTCTAGGAAACGAAGTTCCAAGACTGTTGTCATTTGGGACCACTTCGCCTCAATTGCGAGTTTGTTGGAGGAATCCGTTTGCAACGACATCGATGAAGAATACAATCGACTCGTCTAACATCTTCAAGAAGGCGCCAAGAAAGCAGAGAGTCTGAAAGATGCCGGGAAATGTCTTTCCTTGAAGTCTATCGTGCTGATACGCCAACGTGGGATCACGCGAGTTGCGGGCAATAACTAGCTAACTACGAGTATGCGAATCTATGCAGAGAAGCGATAAAGGCAGATCTGAAAGAGAGAAGAACAGCAGTTCCAGCCCAAGCCGCTGGGGCTGGGAAGAACATTCGCAAAGCTCACCGAATCTTCGCCAACCATAAATCCAGATTGCGTCCCTTAGTCGCCCTAGTGAACAATTACTGCGTCTCGAATGGCATTGGAGGAGGTCATCTACGACTGCTACTGAGATCTCTTCCACTCTGTCTGCCTACCTAAAGATTAGCAGGACCGTGTTGCCGTATAAGAAAGGAGATCCAAACGATATTGGCAATAATCACCCAATCTGCCTGCAGTCTGTAATCTACAAACTTTCACACGCGTAACCCTTAACAAGGTCGGCAGAATATTAGATGAAGGACAGCCATGCGAGCAAGGACGATTTCGGAGAGGGTTCAGACAATTGATCCGATCCACACTATTGCAAGACTCGTCGAAGTATCACATGAGTACAGGTTGCCGTTAAGTCTGACCTTTATCGTTCATCTGACACTGAAGAATGAAGTATCGCGAGAGTACAAAAACCGTTATGTCTTACGTTCATCGATTTTCGATTTGAAGAAAGCTTTTGATGCTGTCAAGACAAAAGCGGTAATTGAAGCTCTGGGCAACCAGGAGGCTCCTACGCCGTATTCTATAAGGATATTTCGTGAGCTCTACAGCAATTTTACCAGGACCACGCCATTCTATAAAAAAGTCATCGTTATCGTAAAGAGGGGGGTTCGGCAGGGCGATACTATCTCAATCAAACTTTTCAGTGCCGCTCTCGAGAACATGATGGTGCTCCCTTTACGTTAAACGGAACGAATAACTCGGAATGCTCTAGATACGTGAGTCTAGGTCGGGAAGTCAACATGAGGAACGACCTCGCTCCGGAGCTAAGTAGAAGGAAACACGCG